CTTTAGGCACAGGGAGAAGGAGACTAATGCCCCTCCAGTCACCACAAAGCATGAGGAAGGCATTGATCAGCAGCGGAAGGGTGGTTTCCCACGAGCCCAGCTAGTGGTCCACGTGCTGACCACGGCACCCACACTGGGAAACAGCCCAGGCCATGCAGAAGCACACATCACGGCGCGAGCATGCTGGGTGGGCGGGCTCACGCTACCTAGGCGACGGACGGAGCTCCTGGTCTCCTTGGCGAAGCGGGAGTTGGACAAGGTCGTCCTCCGGGAGACGAGGACGGGGATGCGGGTGATTGGGGGGCAGTAGCTGGGCACATTGGGGAGGTGCTCCGCCGGGTTTAGGGGGGCCAGCCTGGGGGCCACCTGGCCAGGCGGCTGGTCCCGGACCCGGCCATTCAGCTCCATGTCCCGGCCTGGGGTAGCCATGGTGCTGGGGCCAGGGGGGTCTCAGGCGGAGGCGGGACCCTGGGGACTGCAATGAGGAGCACAGAGTTGGGGGAGGCAGGGGAGGCGGGGATCTCCCCACCGGCGCCAACACAGACCAGCCCGGCGCCCGGCTGCACCTGCAGCAGCTGCTCCCAAAATCGGGAGCATCGCTCTTGTCCCTGGAACTCAATGTCAAATGCACCACCACGTGTTGTGGCTGGTCCTCCCCACAGCTCCGAGGGACAGCCTGCAGCCCCTAACTCCTTGCACTCTGTTAACCAACCCCCGGTAGCATTTCCCACCTCAGGCTCAAAAAAGTCAGAATCAGCCGGGCGGGCACAGCTCAGTGGTTGAGCGTTGACCTATGAACCAGGAGGTCACGGTTTGATTCCCAGTCAGGGCACATGCCTGGGTTGCAGGCTCGATCCCCAGTGTGGGGCGTGCAGGAGGCAGCCGATCAACGATTCTCTCTCATCATTGATGTTTCTATCTTTCTCTCCCTCTCCCTTCCTCTCTGAAATCAATAAAAATATTTAATTAAAAAAAAAAAAGCTCAGAGGGGCATGGAGTCTAGGATGTGCCCTTGGCAAGCTCTGGTCCTAATTTTCACTGTAATATGTTACACGTTTGAGCCAAGCCCCTGCTGGGTGGCAGCCCAGAGAGCTGGGCGGTGGGAGGGGGCGGCTGGCTGGGAGCAGGCTTCCCCAGGCTGCTGGAGTCCTGGGCCTCCGTGCAATCCCCCGGGCCCTTGAACTCCATCACCCGCTTTGATGATGTGGTCCCAGGCGCAGAGGGTGGTTTGCCTGAGGATGGGGCAGGTGGAGGGGGACAGGGATGGTGGAGACGGAGGGAGAGGAGGTGGGGTGGCCCTGCACACACTCTGCCACCTTCCACCCACCACCACCTACCTACTGAGCTGGCGGCTGCGGCTTCTTCCTGTAAAATACACAGTGGAAACAGAAGCTGAGACCAGCACGCCCCACCCCCCCAGTCCTGTCCAGTCCGTCTCCTGGGGCATCCGGGGAGGTGGCCTCCACCTCTAGGGGCAGTGCGTACAGGAGCCCCAGACCCCACCCCGACCTGTCACGTGTAACGAGCCCTGTGCGTGTGGGGACACAGGCACCAGAGCAGCCACCACAGTCCTCCCCACGGGCACTGCACAACTGTGCACAGCCTGCAGGGGGAGGGGTTAGCCCCATTTCACAGAGGTGGCCACTGAGGCCCAGCATGGGGCAGTGACTGCTCCAGGGTCACACAGCCACGTGAGGACTGAAGTACAGGTCCAGCGGCTCCCCACCCACTCCACCAAAGACCCCTCCTAACACCATCTGACCCCTGGTACCCACCGACTTTGCGGTCTCACCACCCTGCTCCCTCTGTCTGGCGGGCATCTCACACGTTGAAAACCCCCATAAACGAAGGAGTCAAGGTCTCAGCCCTTCCACCGAGGCCAGCCCACACCCCAGGGCGGCTGGGGCCAGGCCCGGTGCTGCTCCATACCTGGCAGGAGGCCCTCTGGGTGACCGTCCTGTCTACTCCGCCCGGGTCTGCGCCGGCCTCTGCCACCAGACAGCTATCCAGCAGGACGCTGTGACCCGGAGGGAAAGGGCTGGGGTCAGGCTGAGTGCCAGCTCTGTGCCGGGAGCTGGGGCACCAAGATGCCCTCGAATAGGTCCTCCCCTAGTGAGACTCCCACACGGGGAGGCGGCAGACGCACGTCCTGCTAACGATCCCCCAGTCTGAGACATGTGCTGGGACAAGGGGCCGTGAAGGCCATGGCCACAGTTCGGTCCAGGAAGGAGGGCTTCCCAGAGGAGGTGGCCTGTGAGCTCAACCTCAAGGATGATGAATGAACCACGAGGAATAGGTGGGGAAGGGTGTCCAGGACGGGGGAACAGCATGTGCAAAGGGAAGTGTGCAGGACGGCTTAGGAACTGTCCTCTGGGTGTGATCCAAGGGCACTGTCCAGTGTTCGCAACAGATGCCCAGCATGTCCCTCTGAAGTCTCCTGGCTCCCTTGGTGCTGCAGGCAGGGCAGGGAGTCAGAAAAGGGAGGCCCAGAGAGGTGAACTGGCCTGGCCAAAACACACAGCAAATTGTCACACGCCACACAAACCCTCAAACACAGGCCCTGCATGTGTTCCCACGCGTGAGCTCAGAGCTCCGCTGCAGTATAGAATCCCCTAAAAGTATTGTGGGAACTATGCCCTCCTTGGGCCTCAGAGCACACAGGCCCAGAAATACGCTTCCCACGGCCCAGTCAGGGGCTGCCCAGGGTCCTGGCCTTTCCAGAATCAGGCCGGGAAGTCAATGTGTGGCTGTGGGTAAGTCACCGGGACGCCCTCTGGCTGCCTCTGTTTGCTCGTCTGTCAAATGGGTAGGACTTGCTCAGCCTGCACAGCCTGACTTATCTGGGTGAGCTCAAAGGGCCCCTGAGAATCTCATGGAAAAGTCAAAAAAGACTCCCCATGTCAGGGGTCATTCTCGATTCTCTAACGACTGGTCAGCAGCTTGGTCTGGGGTCCCAAGTGTAAGGGTCGAGCCAGCCTGACCTGGGACGGGCCAGCTCTGCACCTGCTGGCAGACAGCCCTGTCTCGGAGCCTCGGGTCTCTCACCTGGGAGCTGGGATTAATAACAGACGCTGTAGTGCGGCGTCCGGCACAGAACACCAGTGCTAGTCCAATGGCAGCTGCTCTTAGGCTCGTCCTTGTCATCATTACTATTAGTCCCAGAGGAGGCACCTTCTTCAGGGTTAGGAGTCACCCCCGTGGATTGGGGAACGTTTGGCACAAACATCTCCAGCTATCAAGACACCTCGCCAGCCCTACCCCGGCCCTGCCAGCACCACCAGGGCTGTTGGGGGACCTCTGTACCCACAATCATGGTTGCCTCTGGCCCGCAGTGTGCTCGGTGCCTGCCACGACCCCTTTCTGCCGGGCCCGGAAGCAGCAGGCTATCAACTTCCGGAAGGTTCCCAAATCCCAGGGAATTCTACATGGAGGGTCAAAGAGACTGGCTAAGGTGGGCATCCCAGAGGAGCCCCCCCCCCCGCCGCCCCGCTCTCTAAGTGAAAGGGTTAAAGGTGCAGGGAGGAGCCAAGGCAGCCAGCTTGCCAGGGTCTGCCAGCCCCCTCCTCCCCCAAGTCACCCAGCAGGCTGTGCCCCCAAATTAAGGTCCTCACAGTCACCTTCCGCCTTCTGCAGACTCTTCACGGCACCCCAACCCCAAAAGAAGGAAGGGGGAGCCCTTAGGAGATGCAGCCACCTACTTGGGTCTCACTAGCTTTGCCGACCAGGACAGCCATGGTGCAGGAGCTCAGCGGGGGGCGGTGCCATTCATCCCAGGGCCCGAGGCAGCACGAACAAGTGGAGAATTGGACAGCCTACCAGCCCGAGCCTGCGAGCCTGCGCCTGCCAGGCTGGCTCTGGAGCCAGTGCGACCCGGGTGGCGGATGAGCCACCAATTCTTCCTGCTTCTAATCAGATTGTGCGGGCGACTCTGCAGAAGCGCCCCCAGGGAGGCCAGGTGGGGACCAAAAGGCTGCGGTTGCTAGGAAGAGCCGAGCTGGTGCCGGCAGAGACCTGGTCGCTAGGCGACCATCTGCCAGCGTCATCAGTCACCCCTGTGCCTCCACAAAGCTGGCCGGGAGCATCCTTCCCCCACCAGTGACAGCCCAGCGGCTTGCCCACTCAGACCCCTCTAGCCCTGGCTCTGGGATCGCTCGCTCTCTCACCACAGAGCCCCCATCCCTGCCTGAGGCCCGGGCCCGAAACTTCCCTGAGTTTGAAACTCTGGGTAAACATTTGTGTAGGCGCGTGTATGCGGCAGCAGCGTTTGTGGGTAACTGTATTCATGTGCTGTGTGCATGAGCATGCGTACAGGGTGCCGTGTGGGTATCTGCAAGTGTGTACATGTGTGCCTGAGCACACATGGGCGAACATGTGTGAGTGTGATGTGTGTGCTGTGTATGTATGTAGACTTGTGTGTTTGTGCCTGTGTGCTGGTGTGTGTGACAGTGCAGACACGTGTATGTACCTGTGTGCATGACAATACCTGTAGTTAGCGCATGTAGATGTGTGTGAGCACATTGGATCACTGGCCTCAAGAGCCATGGCACAGAAAGGGGCGTAGATGTGTGTGAGCACATTGGATCACTGGCCTCAAGGGCTGTTTCCCTCGGGAGCCATGGCACAGAAAGGGGTTTTCAGGCCTGAGTGTCGGGCGCGCAGGTTTAATGGGGAAACAACTCCCCCACTATGTGCTCCACACAGAGGCAGGTGGAAGGCGGAAGGCAAACAAGGCTGCACTAGGGCAGCTGGCAGCCTCAAAGGTCCTCACCCAGGGCAAGAGCGGTCACCTGTCCGTGACAGCAGCCTGGCTCGGGGGCCCAGAGGGCAGAATTAGGACCAGGTGACAGAAATCCTAAGGAAGCACGCTTAGTGTTGGTGGAAGAAATCACTTCAAAAGCCAGGGGTGCATAGGGATGGAATGAATACACAGCCTCTGCAAGGTGGTGAGCTCCCCATCACTGGAGGGAAGCAAACAGCTGTGTGGCCTCTGGCCGAGGATGAAAAGATTACATGCGACCCGGACAAGGGTAGACTAAATGTAGATGACCCTGAGCAGGCTCCTATGCTGGCCTCAGGGTTTAACTCTTTCCTGGCAGGGACTAAAAATGACCCTCGGTGGGGATTCAAACATCCTACCGCCCCCATTCTCACAGCCGGGCCCGTGACCACCCTGCAGGGCGCTGTTGTTCTCCCCCACCTGACGGGTGTGGGGAGCAGCTCTGTGCAGGGGATGCCCTTGCCCCTAAGAGCAGCAGAGCCTGTGCCCCTGACACTCATGGGGCTTCCCTGCCCCAGGCTACGGCCAGAAGGGCAGGTCAGGGAGGAAGGGTGTGGGCCAGGGGGTACCACAGAGGGCAGAGTGACCAGGAATAGTGCCGGGGGTGGAGCCAAGGGACCCATTCAGTCTGGCCTGATGGGAATACAGGCTTCTCCCTGTCTCAATCTCTCCACAGCGCTGCTGCCAGATCATGCCACTCCCCTGCTCACAAACCTGCAATGGCTCCCCATTGCTCCCAAGAAATTCAGTTCAAGGCCTTTGGGGCTGCTAGGTGATAGGCCTCTGAAGGACTATCACCTAGCAGCCCCACCTCCCTGGGCCACTCCTTAGCCAAGGGCATAGCGCCTTACTCAGGCTCCTCCTCCTCATCATCTTCTTTGTCCTCTTGAATCCAGGAAAACTCCCTGAAATGAGATCAGAGGCAAGAGGTGAGCCCCCCTGAAGATGCACCCCGAGTCCACCTCCTGCCCCAATTTTCAGTAAGATGTCCTGTGACCCCTCGAGATCAGACCTGAACCCCTCAACCAAGAATCAACCCGGGAACCCCCACCCGAGGAGCCCCAGGCTCTCGCTAACAACAAGGCACAAGGGGCCTGTCTCAGCCCCTGATCCTCTCTGGGCCTCAGTTTCCCCCTCTGTGCAATGCGGGGCGCGGGGCTGAGGACCTGAGACCTCCTGAGGATGCACGCACGGGCATGCACAAGGGTGTTTGTTGCAGAATTACTTACAACAACAAGTTTTTGGAATCAACCTAAATGTCCATCAATAGTAGACAGGTTAAATCAATGCTGGCACATCCGTATGACGGAATACGATGCATTTATTTAAAAATAAAAAGTGTGAGCAATCTCTATGTACTGAAGGTGGGAAGGTCTCAAGATAAATGGGTAAATGAATATAGCAAAGTGCAGCTAGGTAGGTGCATGCTATGCTTTGTGAATAAAAAGCATAATAAAAGGAGGTGGGGTCCAAGCTTGCATGTGCTCAGATGGTCCCTGGAATGGCACAGAGGAACCTGGGAAAGGGATGGGTGTCAGGGGGGAGGAGGGAGGGAGAGGCAGGCTTGGCTCACCCTCTGTGCCCTTTAAGTCCTCGAGGTTCTGTACTAAGTGCCTGTTATCCTCCCAGTCATTCCTCAGGGCCTCCCCTGGCTCCCACCTGGACATCTCTTCCCCGGCCTCATTCTCCTCCGCATAAGCTGACACCACCACCTCTGCACCCTGCGGGCTGGCGCTGCCATCCTGAGCCTGGTCCTCCTCCCAGTGAGGGTCGACCTCTTCTAGGATGAGATCATCGGGCTCCTCTTGGCCTCCAGGGAGGATGCTGACTGCAGGGGACACAGGGTGTGGGGGAGAGTGGGCTTGGGGCTCAGTCCCAGGGACCACCCAGGGAGCCCTGGCCATCGCCAGCCATGCGCCAGCCCTCAGCCAAGCAGTGGACATGGCACCATTGTCAGCGGGACCGTTAATAACCGGATCGGCGCTAAGTGATGGGTTGCAGCCCGCGATCAGTCACCCTGTCTCCTGCCATTCGTTTTCCTGAGACCGAGCTTCCGTTACAGCTAGTCTTTGTCTCTCCTTCTTGGCGTCTGTGCAGAAGCAGAAACAATGCTTCTCACCACAGTGTGGCAGGTGATGCCAAAAGACCGAGGCTCGAGGTCCACCTGCACACCCAGGTGCAGGGAGCCTGAATGTCCCCACGATGCAGAGCGCGCTTGCCCGCTGCCTGCTCTCTCGATGCCGCCCCTTGGTGACGGCACACTACACGCCTGTCATCTCAGCACCTGCCTCTGGGCGTCTTCTTCTCCTTCCTGGACCTAGAGGCTCCACCCGCCCAACTTTCTCATGGAGGTGGTCCCACCTTCAGAGAGAATCTGCGGTTTTCAGCATTTCTCCATGTACCCTGGCCCCTGACAGTGAAAACTCTGTGGGCTGTGAGCTTGGCGGAGGTGGGGGCAGGGGAGACTCATCAGGAACCTAAGCCCACCCCCAGGCAGGGAAAGGCAGAAAGGGGGAGGTTGCCGGGATACCAGGTGTTTCCAAAGAGCTCAAGGGGTCTAGGTGGCCCTCACGCCAAGCACGCATGACTAATGGTGACTTACACATGTTTTTTATTGATTTCAGAGAGGAAGAGAGAGAGAGAAGGAGAGAGAAACATCAATGATGAGAGAGAATCACTGATCAGCTGCCTCCTGCACACCCCACACTGGGGATCGAGCCCACAACCTGGGCATGTGCCCTGACCAGGAATTGAACCGTGACCTCCTGGTCCATAGGTCGATGCTCAACCACTGGGCCACGCCAGCTTGGCTGCTTACGCTCTTTAATGTCAATGAGAGCATCTGCTGCTGTCCACTGGCGGTCCCCACGCTGAGGCCAAGCCTAAGAAGAATGGCTCCTGGGAAAACCTGTGTCCCATGGGGACACCAATTCCATGACAGGCTCTCTGCTGAGACAGTCCTTTGTGGGCCTCCCTAGCCTTCCGGTGGGAGTCCTGCTGTCCAGCCTCAATGCCACAGGCTGTGCCCTCTGACCCTCCCCTGCTCTGGTGTCCCCGAAAGGCAGCTCTGGGACGGTGGAAGGGACTCTGATCCCCCCTCGTCCTGCCAGGGGTCACTGTTCAAGGAGGATTGGGGGATCGATGGCCACTCATTCCCGGTCCCTGCAGGTCTTCTCTTCAGAACACCCTTCTTTCCTTCCATCCATCCGTCCGTCTGTCCATCTGTGCTCTCCCAGGCTCCCTTCTCCCCTGTTTCAGAGGCCTCCCGCTGCTGCCACCCCTGAAACAAAGGAGAAGACAGAGGGTGGGTGGCCAGGTGGCCAGGCGGAGGGGCTGAATGAGTGAGTGCCTGAGTGGGTGAAGGCTGGGGAGGCTGGGGCAGAGTGGCGAGAAGGGGGACACAGCCCCTCAGGACCCCCAAAACATAACTCAAGCCGTAACTCCTGTCCCCTGTGAGTGTGACCTTGTTTGGGAAAAGGGTCTTTACAGAGGTCGCTCGTTAAGGATCTCAAGATAAGATCATCCTGGGTTAGGGTGGGCCCCAAATCCAATGCTAGCACCCTTATAGGAGAAAACGGGGTGAGCTGACAGAGGAAGAGGCAGAGCCGGGGAGGCAGCTGCAAGCCCGGGGCACCGAGGAGTGCCTGCAGCCACCAGAAGCGGGGAGAGAGGCATGGATGGTGTGCCCCTCGGAGCCCCAGGAGGAGCCAACCCTGCCAGCACTTTGATCTTGGACTTCTGGCCTCGTGAACTGGGGGAGGGTACGATTCTGCTGTTGGAAGGCACCCAGTCTGCAGCCCCCGGAAACTAACACCGGGTTCCTGGTAGGGGTGTTGAGTTGCCCCATGGCGGCCCCAGGGCCCTCTGCTGACCCCTGACCCCCATGCTCCGGCACACAGGGAGGCCCTGTGTGGGCTGGCTGAGAATTCTGCCTCCCTCCAGAGGAGCAGAGAGAAGGTTAAGAGGAGCCAGGGGGCCCAGCCGGTGTGGCTCAGTGGTTGAGCACTGACCTATGAACCAGGAGGTCACGGTTCAATTCCTAGTCAGGACACATGCCCGGGTTGCGGGCTCAATCCCCACTGTGGGGTGTGCAGGAGGCAGCTGATCAAAGATGTTTCTCTCTCATCACTGATGTTTCTATCTCTCTCTCCCTCTCCCTTCCTCTCTCTGTCAATAAAAACATATTTAGGGGGAAATAGAGGAGCCAGAGGCTCCACCCTCAAAGCTCTCAGCCACCCCAGGGAGGGGTTTCTGTTCCAGGGCACGTTTTCCGTGCGGTAACCTCAGCCGGACTGAGCTGCTGCCAGGCCACGTGGACTCTCGTCTCTGAAAGTCCACGAGAACTTGCCCGGTGACCTTGGGCACAGCCCTACCTGCCCCAACAGGATGGGGGTCCCCGCTCTGTGTCCTCCAGGGCAGCCATGAGCTCCACGAGACTGGGGAGTCCTGCTCTGAGGCCTTCCCCTGCCAATGTCAACACAATCACACAAACCCCCTCGCCCCCTACAGCCGCTGTCAGACCCGAGCTCCACAGTCAGTTGGCCTGTCTGTGCCCCAGGCCACCGCGGCCATTCCAGCCTCAAAGTTCTCATAAAGACCACCACCGGCCTAGTGGGACTGGGGTGGGACGCAGCCTCACAGACACTGTGAGAGCAGCCCTGGGAGGCCCTGAGCCCCACAGTCCCAGTGCCCAGATCCAGGTGGAATAGGGCCACCGCCCTCAGGGCCTGAGCTCCGCTTTGCCCACCTCTAGCATTCATCACAGGCCTGGCACATAGCAGGCCCTCCTTTACATGTGTGAACGAGTGAATGAGCAGATGAATGGAAGGATGGATGGATGGATGGATGGATCAGTGGATGGATGGATGGATGGATGGATGGATGGATGGATGGATGGATGGATGGATCAGTGGATGGAAGGATGGATGGATGGATGGATGGATCAGTGGATGGAAGGATGGATGGATGGATGGATGGATCAGTGGATGGAAGGATGGATGGATGGATGGATGGATCAGTGGATGGAAGGATGGATGGATGGATGGATGGATCAGTGGATGGAAGGATGGATGGATGGATGGATGGATCAGTGGATGGAAGGATGGATGGATGGATGGATGGATCAGTGGATGGAAGGATGGATGGATGGATGGATGGATCAGTGGATGGAAGGATGGATGGATGGATGGATGGATCAGTGGATGGAAGGATGGATGGATGGATGGATGGATCAGTGGATGGAAGGATGGATGGATGGATGGATGGATCAGTGGATGGAAGGATGGATGGATGGATGGATGAATGGATGGATGAATGGATGGATGGATCAGCGGATGGATGGATGGATGGATGGATGGATAGATGGGTGGATGGGTGGATGGATAGATGGATGGATGGGTGGATGGATGAGTGCCCTGTCTTCCACAGGCCTTTCCTGAGGCCACAAAATGAAAGACGAGCAGATTTGGGGCCCTAGCTCACCCCTCCTGCCTCAGCCTCTCCCCGAGTCCCGATGCAGGTCTGAGACAAAAGGCAACACACTCACCTGCCTAACCTGGTCACAGGTGAGGGGATACCCTCCCAGCTCGAGGCAGCTGAAGTCTGTGGGGTCCAGTTCCCTGTCGGTCTCCCCTCACCCCTCAACCAGCGACTGTGCTCGGCCAAACCCGCCGGCCCAGCTGCCAGGGGCAGTGGGGAACTCTCTCTGGTGTCCCAGCAGGACAGGCTACTCTGCATGGAAGCTCAAGGCAGGCCAAGTCCGTCCCCTCCTCCCCCTCCCCAGCCTCCAGCAGGGCCTCCAGCCACCATCTGCTCTGGGCCGGCTCTGGCTCCCTGGCCAGGCTGACCTGAGGCGGGGCCTCGGAGCACAGGCTCCTGCAGGAAACCCTGACTGTGGCCCCGAGCGGGTGCAGGCCTGGCAGGGGGCAGCCCACGGCCCTGCGCGCTCAGGCCAAGCAGCCCTCCCCGAGATGCACAGGAGCACCCACCAACGTGTCACTTACTGGTCTGCACCTCACACGTCCCAGGGGCGCCAGGCTCCTGCACGGGGAGAAAGGGGAAAGCCATGTGGCCTCCCCACCGGCTTCCCCGGTTCCACGGTCCCTCCCGCACACGCAGGGGCGAGAGACCTTCCTTCTCCCCATCAGGGACCCCCC